GACGTTGGGGCGTACAGGGCTAACAGTAACTGCTCAGTGGCGCCACGTACCCAAGGTTGGTGCAATACCCTAGACATGCAGTGCCTCCTGGAAACCTTCCTTGACTTCCCTCAGCAGAGAGGGTGCTCTGTCCTGTGTGCCCACATCACTTTGCTTATGCCAGGGCTCTCATCCCACTATCCGCTCCTCAGTCTACTGGCTCCTCTGTCTTCATCACATACGTATAAACTCACTGCAGGGGCTGACCTTGTCTGGTTTATCCTGATGTCCCCAGGACTAGCACAGTGATGGCGTATGGCAGGTACTCAAATATCACATTTTTCAAGAGAATATTCTGTTTTAGTATTCAAAAAGGAGAGTATTAAAAGGTGGATATTACCTATTTCTGCCAGAATAGCATAGGCCTTTGCCACCTGCTCTCTCCTATCCATTTCCCAGCAAAGGCTTCATTCACGTAGCAAGACTGTGCAAGAAACACGTAAACATTTAGAATTCATCTAGGGCGCCTGGTGATGGGAAGGTCAATCGTATTCATCCACTATTGACAACCACTTTATTCAGTTGATCTACGTTAACCTATTTTACAGGTAAGAAAATTATGATCATATAGTATTAAAAGAAGTAGATATAAAATAAGCATTTGAAGGAACCAGGGATCAAATGAAATAAGGCCCTTGGCTTCATAAAACTCAGACTTTATCATGTCACCAATCTTTGTTTAAAAACTGCTAACAGTTCTGAGCTGTCCTCAGGATAGACTCCAACCCTTGACCTGACATCCAAGGCCCTTCATTGGTACTTCCAGCTTACCTCTCAGAATGACTGCCTCAAATCTCTCAGACTTGCCTCACCTCACACTCCATGTCCCAGCCACAATAACAGTACACAGTTCCTCCAAGGGGCAAAGTTCTCTCACTCCCTCAGCCCTTACTGATGCTTTTCTTCTGCTGGGAAGTTCCTAACACCATTCCCTGAACTTTCCTACCCTCCATCCTCCTTACCTGCCTAACTACTCCTCATCTCTAGGAGTGAGTGCGGACATTTCCTCAAGGAGCTTTCCGGTTTCTGTGCTCCTCTGACCCTCAGTCTGGGTCAGTGGCCCCTCCTCTGCGCTCCCCTTAAACACATTCTTACCATAGCACTGATAAGTGTGTGCTGTCCAGTCACTGCCATGTCTCCTCATTAAAACAGAAACAACTTGAGGAGAGATGCTGAATCTAGTTCATCACTGATTCCTAGTGCTGAGCAGCAGTGCTAACAAATAATAGGCACTCATATGTTCACTGCATGGATCAATCCTATTCCTTTCTAGCCTGAATTCAAGACTTAGTGATAGTCCATTATGTGGGAGAATTCCAAAAGAATTGGTAGAAGTGAGCTGTGGGAGGTGTCCAGGGGAAATTTCCACCCTAGCAAACCAGCTCCATGGTGACCAAATTCAGACAACTTGCCCAAGCAGCCTGGAACCAGCCCTGGACTGTGAGCTCCTGAAGGGTGTGTGTGTGGGGAGTGGGGGTGAGAGGGTCTTATTCATCCCCAGATTCCCAGTGCCTAATGTCCAATAAAGGTTTTCAAATGAATGACTGATAATATGTTGGGCAGGAGTATCTATTTTGTTATTCAATGATGCTTTAGGAATAGGGCCTTTGAGATGCTTTGAGAAGAGTCTGGGGAAGGATAGAAGAATCTCAGGAAAAGCCAGCCAGAAAGTAAAAATCCAAAGTCCTTACGGTGGCCTGTGAGGCCCTTCATGACCTGCCCCACACCTGCTCTGACCTCACCTCCTTCCACTCTTCCCCTCGTTCCTTCTGCTTCAATCCCATTGCCCACTTGCAGTTCCTTAAAGTCCAAGCACATTCCTACCTCAGAGCCTTTGTTCTGGCCATTTCCTCTAACTTCAATTCCTCACTTTCCTCAGGTCCTGCTCAGGTAATTGCCTTATCAGAGAGGCCTTCCTTGATACTCTATATAAAATTTCCATGCCCATTTCCCCAACTCCAGCTCTCTGCTCTGCTTTAATTTTTCTATAGCACTTATTGCTGCCCGACATAATATATGTATGTTTGTTCATTTGCTGACAATCTCCCTACCCCACTGGAAATTCAGCTTCATGAAAACAGGAACTTTGTTTTGTTCAGTGCTCTGTACCTAGCACCAAGAACGGTGCCTGCCACGTGGTATGTGCTCAACAGGTATCTGTTAAATGAATGGATGACCAGATGAATGAATGTCCCATAGGAGCTAACAGACAAGGAAGAAAGCCAACATCGTGGCCTCAGAGTAACATGTGTTTGATACGTGACTGTCCTACTAAGCGTAAGGCCAGGATGCCTGCCCCCACATCAACTGACCCAGTTGTCAGGACATTCCTCTAGGCCCCAGAAGTATTCTGGTCTAATGTGAAAAAGCTACTGGGAGGAAGTTAGTTTTCAGCTTATAATTTATGAGTTGAGGGTGGATGGATGTCAAGGGACTAGGAGGTTGATGGGTCCTAAAGTTGGATGTGATACAGCAAGCCTTCCAAATGGTGGGACTGTAGAGGGCAATCTGGCCAAGCCCAGGGGAGGGAAGACTTCTACTGAAGAAGAGCTCTGCAATCAAAAGTCTGTTAATAGCTTCTCTCTCCTTATAACTGGTTGGGGTCTATGATGGTCTTGGATGAGACCTGCTCCTAAATTTTAGGCACAAAGTTCAAGTAGAACCCAGATACGGGATCCAACATATATTTAAGTAGCTCTAAATAAGGTTGGGCAGGGAATGGAGTTTATATTTGTTGAGGACTACTATCAGCAAGGAGCCCTGGTGGTGCAGTGGTTAAGAGATCGGCTGCTAACCAAAAGGTTGGCAGTCTGAATCCACCAACCAGTCCTTGGAAACCTTATGGGGTAGTTCTACTCTGTCCTATAGGGTCGCTGTGAGTAGGAATTGACTTGAGAGCAATGGGTTTGGGTTTTGGACAATAAGCAAGAAACTATGCTATATGCATTATCTCATTTACTACCCACCACAAGTCTATAATATAGGGTATCACTGTTCCCTTCTTACAGATGCAGAAACAGAGACTCAGGAATTTAAACTGATCTAACCAAAATCACTCAACTAATAAATAGTAGAGCTAAGATTTGAAGTCAGGTCTGTCTAATTCCAAGAGTTATTGTCCTTCCTCTGAATTCTGCTATAGCTCAAGGACCACTCTAGGGAAAGAAACCAAAAGAGGCAGGAAGGAAGGCAATGAAAGCAAACCTATTCCTCAGTGAGTGAGAATACGGTATAAGAAACAAGTCTGGGATAAAATGATCCTGGAAGCTCAAAATTGGAAAATACCTTAGAAATTATCTGGTCCTATGCTCTGCACTATGTTCAGCTTTATGAAATGCTTCTGGTTTTAGTTTTCAAGGTAACCCAAGATAATCTAGATGAAAAAGAAGAGCTTTAAAAGGAGAGAGGACAGTAAAAGATAACTCCAGCAACCTGAGAAGGTAACAGGTGCGTGGCCGTCTCAGTCTATTGGCATCTCCTTCCTGACTCATGACGTTCTATGTGTGGGTGACCTGGCTCTGCTTAAGGGAGATGTGTTAATATGCCAGAGTCCAGAGAGCTGAAACCTCACAGACCTCATGCATCACAGAGAGACTTCAGTCCACTGAAGGAGTTCAAGCAGACATGACCCTAACCTTGCACATAAAAAGAAAAGTGTCCATAACTGTTTAGGAGGAGGTGAGAGATGAGAGAGGGAGGAGGGAGGAGACAGGTAGCAAGAGGGAACCAAAGGGATGGTGGTGAGCAAAGAGTGCAATGGGAATGGTGAGGGGCAGTCAGTGCCCTGGAAGTGCTCTTGGACGATAACTCAACGCACTGACTTTGTTTCTAAAAATGTTATAGCAAGTGGGGTGCCAGCCAGGTCTCTGACATGAGACTTAAATTCGACCTCAACATGGCTACTTAAAAGGGGCACTTAAGCACTCGCCTGCTAACTGAAGGGTCAGCCTTTCAAACCCACCAATATCTCCATGGGATAAAGATGAGGCTGTCTGCTTCCATAAAGAATATAGCCTTGGAAACCCAATGGGGCAGTTTTGCTTTGTCCTATAAGGTTGCTATGAGTCTGAATTAACTCCACCTCAACAGGTTTTTGATTTTATGGCTACTTCAGGATTTCTCCTGCTCATCTAAATCTGGGTTGGCCAGGATGGGCAAAAAAGACCCTGATTATGCTTAATCTCAAAATGGATTCTGAAAGAAAAAAAGTAGCCTAAAACTACAGCTCTAATCTGCTCTCCCCCTGCTTGTAGTCCTAAGCTACTCTATTTTATGCCTCAATACCCTAAAGATATTAGATCGCAACAGATCCTACTCAGAATGCAGCTATAGAACATGGGGGCCTTTAAATGCTTCCAAGTTATAGCTACATTGAAGTAATGTGAATTATTAATTACGTCTCTTCTTTTCTCTTTACATGTATGTGGTGTTAGAAGATTAATTTCGTGCAATCGCCATCCTTAATACTTTCAAGTATTCTATAGGGATGCCTATTCTGCATATTGGTTATCCATTGTCATAGGACAATATGTGTACTAACTGTTTAATGAGGAACTATTTTGTTCTGTAAACCTTCATCTAAAGTACAAAAAAAAAAAAAAGAATTATCTATGTGAGATCAGATTGACAACAGCAACTCAAAAGTTCTGATGGGAAGCTTAGGGGACACTGAGTTGAAGACAATGGTTATGGAATAATTTGGAAAAGGATAGTGAGAATAGCAGCACAACTGGAAGAACGTAATCAATGTCAATGAAATGCACATGTAGAAATTTTTGAAATTGGTATCTTTGGCTATGTATATTT